CTTGAATGATTAAAAGTTTTACTGTTTCTTTTATTAATTCATGGATATCAAAAAAATGAGTTAAGTTGTTTGTTTTATTTATCATTGTCTAGTAAAAAATAGAGAAAATTCATTGCAAGTTTCTTGACCAAACTTATTTTGCAATCAATCCCTAAAATTATGAAATATCAATTTAGTTTTTGTGGGTCTTTCTTAGGCAAAATTGAAATTAAGTTTTTCAGGGAAATGATACAAATACCCCCAATTCCCTATATGAGTTGTTTATTTTCTATGCCACATTTATTCATTTTTCCTACACAAATTGTTCATACATTAGGTTTGCTCGTTTATATTCATAATAATGTTTTATTATTAATGAGAGTTGTAAATTTCACATATGTCAAGTGCTCATTTTTTATATATCAATTGTTTATTTTTCTTAAATAAATTGTTCATGTGCTTTCCTTTACTTGCTATTAATAAGAATTGCAAAATCCACCAACATTAGTTGTTTATTTTTATATATACATAGTTATTTATTTTTTCTACATGAATTGTTGATACACTTAGTTTCTCTTGTTTTTATTTTTAGTGTTGTTATGTTGTTAATGAAAGTTATAATTTCTTTCCATATCAGTTGTTTATTTCTATATGTTAGTTGTTTATTTTCCTTACATCAGTTATTTTTATTCAAGGAAATTGGGTTATTTCTATCATTTTGCTTAAAAACTTAATTTTAATTTTAGAGTTGTTTTTATAATTTTTATGTATAGCTTCACTTGTTTTTATTTATTGGTGTGATGTTTTAGAATTTTAGAAAGGTTGAATGAAAAGAAATTTGGTTAAGCGGACTGCAGCGAAATTTTCCCCAAAAACATACGTGTCACGTTTCCTAATCTGCTCCTCTTTAATGAAGGTACTAAATGGATACACATGTGACAAGAAAAATGGTTAAATTAACTTGGTTAATGTGAAAATATATTAAATAAGACAGATAAAAAAGATTAAAACACAATATTTATGATTAAAATAATTCTCTTTACTAAACCGTATATTCCTTCCTATCCTTATTAAATTCTAGAATAATTTTTTTATCTTTAATATAAGTCACATAAGAGTTATTAATTTATATTTTTAAATTTGCTAGTGCAAATTACTAAAAAGAGAATTTAATTTCAATTTAGTTTTATGGCTCCTCAAATATTGTGTTTTTAAATATTGGTAAAGTTGAGATTTTTTTTAAAATTTTAATATAGATTTAATGAGTTAATAACCTTTCTTAAGGTAATTGAAAGTGACTTATAATAAAGACTAACAGAGTATAAAATTTACTAATTGGAAGCTGTTTTAACAAATGTACTAAAAATCAAACCAATCAATCATTGAACTGATTAAAACACTAATTTTATAATTAATGATTAAAAGTAATAGGGGTGTTCATGGGATAGGATGGAATCGAGACACTCCTATCTCGTGTTTCGTCCCAAAAAATGACTGGGACTGAATTTCTTTCTCGTTATTCCTTGAGAGTCGTCCCATTTTGTTAGAAATTGGGACGGGACTAGGACGAGATTGAGACATCCCACCGTCCTAATAAATCAGACAATGTCGAAAAAAGATTTGGATAATAATATTTACTAAAATTTTAAATCATATAATTTATTAAGTTTAAAATTAAAATAACATAAGTATAAAAATCACAACAATTTAAAGTTAATTATTAAATTATATTAATAACAACTACGCATTATAATAGTAATTACAAGTAATATTTAGGCTATAAGAGCAGTAACAACAATCAAGTCAAGTACAATATCAAATCAATGTTCTTCTACTTTAGTTGAGATATACTAAGTTAATTATTTTTTTAAAAACAAAGCAAGAAATATGATATAAATAAAAATTATTAAATAGATAGATATAAGAATAAATTGTATTAATGTAATTAATACATTATAAAGAAAGATATCATTTTATTTACTCTATATTATTAAAATTATTAATATAACCAACTTTATTTTTATATAAGTATTGAAATTATAATTTATATAATTAATATAAGTATAAATTATATTAATATAATTAATATATTTAATGTATATTTTTAAAATAAAAAATAATATATATATATATATATATATGTATATAATATTCAAGACAAGATGGGATGTCTTGACAATAATTTCATGTCTCGTCCCATCCTGAACTTCTTTCTTGTCTTGTCCTGCAAAGTTTCATCTATATTGTTTTCGGGCCGGGACAAGACCTGTCCCAATATGATCGAGATGATACCAGGTCAATCGAGATGGATACAAACTGAACACCCCTAATTAAAGTCATAATCTAATTATAATCAAATTGATTATAAATAAAATATTTTATTAAATTAATTAAGATACTAATTTAATTTTTTATCAATTCAATTAAGCGGGTTCATCCGCATTTCCATGTTATAATTTTACCCAATGTCTAAGGGATAAAAAGAAAGTGCAAATTAAAGTATTGATCAAAGCGGAGGGAAACAAAAGGCACAAGCATATGTCATACCCTCAATAGTTGATCGGCATATCCGGCTGGGAATAAGAGCGGCACATGCTGTCATGTCCCAACATTTTTTTAAAAAAATAAAAATTAAAGCATATGCCATTTGTCGTCATATTTAAGAATCAAATCTGTTGGCATATCCTATAAAAAATATGGTCCAAGTTATATATAAGGGTAATGTCGTTAAGAACAATTTTGATACAATTATCGAAACTCTTTAAAATTAAACAGAAACCTCTTGTAAAATAAGTAGGACAATAGAATAATGAAAATTCAGAATAACCCAAGAAAAGCATGAGGAGAAAAAAGAGAAGAATATCCCAAGGTTCAAAAAAATTCATTTGAACTTGAAAGTTCAAACAACCGCTACCTTTTTTAGGTAGAAATTTCACATACGTTGAGCAATTAGACACTGGGTAATGATACCTTAATATAAATGAAAACAATTACAGATAATAATAAGATTTAATATAAAATAAATAGTCTTAAATAGCAATTAATAAAATGATAATTCCTTTTGAAATATAATTAAATAATTAAAATATCAAGCAAATTCTGTCATAGCTACATGACAAAAGCAATATTTTTTTTTGATAAAAAGTTGAATTAAGTAAAAGGTAAAAATTTACGACACACTCATTTGTAAGCAAGTGAACAAAAAAGGAAGGAAAGAGTAATCTATCATGAGAAATATGAAATGAAACAGTTCCAAATAATTCAACTAAGAACTTCACGTATGAAATTAAAGGCGGAAGAGAATGATACTTTTGGGGAAGACAATTATAAAATTTCTTCAAGTAACACAATAATGAGAAGCCACAATGATGGAGGATCCTGTGAGTAGAAGTTTTCATGCTCCGTACCACCATAGCACGAATACAGAGAATGATAAAACAATGAGGCTCAGTGTTGGAAAAACATCTTCACTATAAACTGTATAAATGCTCAAGAGACATCGGAGAGCCATGCTTTAACGTCAACATCTTAATGTTCCAAGTTCCAACTCAATTGAGGCATCTCAACAAGAAAACGAGTCCACACAAAAATTTTTTGAAGAGAAGTTAATATGTAATTTGAACATTAAATTATAAGTTTTGGAGTGATTTAAAACTTTAAACTTTTAAAAAATATATTTTAAATTTTAAACAATTAAAATTAAAATAATTTCGCCCTCAACATTAAATTACACAAACGTATGTTAGGTTTTTTTTTAAATTAAAATTTAATATATGATTTTTACTAAATTTTACTCTTCTTTTTTCTCCTACCATCATTTGAAAAAAAATATAAATTAGGCCCCACTTTTTTTAAAAAAAAAAAATAACCGACATTTGTGCATATTTAACAGTGGGGTAAAATTATCTAAATTTTAATTATTTAAAATTTATAATGTATTTTTTAAAAATTTAAAATTTAAATTACTTTTGTACTTATAATTCAAAATTTAAATTGTATATCACCCTAATTGAAAAGTTAGAGTTGATGGTATTAAAGTTGATTCTGCCTGAATGTCTGGAACCAAAAATCGACAAAAAAAAGTGAGAGGAATTATTTAATGAGGTTATGTGCAATATTATTTTAAAATTTAAACTAGTTACTAATAATTACTTATTTTGGTATTTTTCCTTCATACTAAATCGTATTGGCTTGTGAAGCAATAAAAAATAATCAAAATGACTTTCTTGGTTCGTATATAAACCTTAAAGCAGCACTTTTTAGGCATAGGAGCGAGTAATTTTTAACAAAATCCTTACATTTAAATTTGAAATTTGTGAGTTGTGAATCACATTATTATCAATTAAATAACCTTTTATTAACAAATCAAAATTTGAACTTGTTAATAATATACTAAATTATCAAAAAAGAATTCGATAACAAAGAAGTAGGGGTGCATGGGAAAAAGTTTAATCAGCAAGATGTCATCTACAGAGATTTTAATCAAAATTAATCACAACATTAGAGACTAATTCTTTTAATAAAAAATTATAAGGACCTTAACCAAAATTTTAGGAGTGAAGAACTATATTTTACAAAAAAAATTAAATTATATTTACAATGATGAAAGTTGTATATTACTCTGTTTTTTATTTATTACTTATTCCAACAATAATCTTCTAAAATATAATACATTTTTGTTTTGAACAAGAAATTAGGAACTGATGCAGGATAACTAGCAGATTTAGTTAGGACCATAAATTCTTTTATTGAAGCATAAAATGCCTGTTTTATTCAAATCAATATTTTGAGACAAAGAATAAAATTTAAAAAAAAAAACAATGTGATAACAATGCATCATTAATCCTTGATTTTTTTTATCATTGATATAAGGAATTCTATTTCTTTATAGAAAATATTAACATTTCTCAAGGTCAAAGAAGAAGTAACAATAATTTTCTATTTTATAACTTGTCGTCATGGTAACAATGTAGAGCTTTTCTAAATTTGAATTTCCGTTCCTCTTCTGAAGGAACTAAATTAGTGGAAGCTTCATACTATAAATTCGTTCTCTTCATTCACTTTCAGAACCTTGATCACCGATTTTGCTACACTCACTCTCTCACTGAGCGGTCGAATCTAACGGCTGAAATTCACTTCAACCGCTCCTCTCCTTTTCAGTCTTCCTCTAATCACCGTTCCCGGCGGCGAGGTCGCTGGTCGCCGAGATTAAGTTGGTGTTCGATTCGTTCCTGCTCTTCCCTTGAGGTTGGTGTTTGTAGATTCGTTAATCGTTGCTCTTTTCTGATGGAATTCTTGAAGGAAATTGAGATGAAAATGTGATGAGTTATTATCAGTTTTCCACGTCTTTTTCCCCGTTCTGTTGTGTTAGCATTATCTTACTGGCTGATGGTTTTTTGTTTGGGTCAGAAAGCTCTGAGACGTTGAACGCGACAAAATGAAACGATTTTAATTCGCATATCACGATCTTTTCGCTTCATATAATGAGTATTTTGAAGTTAATTTTTTATCGCATTTCGTCTGAAAAATTGGGGTCGCAGTTTTCCATTTTCCTGTTCCATTCCACTTTATTGACTGCGAGTGCTAGACTGCTAGTTAATCTATTTTTAAGATTCAAAATCATAAACTCGAATTTAAGGTCTTGTTTTTGAATTTAGATGCATATTACAAATATATTTTTGAGCTAGATAGGTGAAACAATAAATCATGTAGTTCTTGTTAGATCACCATTTTTTTCAGGTTAGGGACAGCAACCTGGTTGCTTCTGGGTCTTTAAGAGATTCTATTATTTTTCCCAGACATGATGACCAAAAAGAAATTGAGGCATCCTTTTCAAACACAGAATTAGAAACTACCATGATTGTTTATAGTGCTGAATCGTTTTAAGTTTCTTATTTACATCTTCGTAGTTGTTTAATTTCCTTCTTGTTTTTAAAAAGAAACTCTTATTGGATAATGATCTTTCTCTCCCTTTGTCATGCCCTTCCTCTCATATACTGCATCTCTCTACTATATCCATGTCAGCATTGGACACTATTTACGTTTATTAGAAAATTTAAGAGGAAGTCGGGACCACCATTGCACTATGCTACACGAGTAATGAGTTAGTTAATGTCACCTGGCAATTGACATTACTTGGATATAATTGTATGTGTTGAACGATCGTGTTAATTCTTTTTTCTTATGGTTCATATTTATCCTTGCTGTGCAGGCCTGAATCTCTTGAATATAGGGAGCTAGACAGTCAGTAATTCCTCGTTTTTGCTTGGAGTTTGGGAGTCTTTCACAATGGCTTCTACGGAGAATCCTGTAAAGGACAAAGCTGATCATCCTGTAGAAGACAAAGCAGATCATCCCCTGGAGGACAAAGCAGATCATAATGTGATAGGCAAAGAGGATCATCCCCTGGGGGGCAAAGCAGATCCTCCTGTAGCGGACAAAGCAGATCATCCTGTAGTAGACAAAGCAGATCATCCTGCAGTGGACAAAGCAGATCATCCTGTAGTGGACAAAGCAGATCATCCTGCAGTGGACAAAGCAGATCATCCTGCAGTGGACAAAGCAGATCATTCCGTGGAGGATAAAGCAGATCATCTTGTAAAGGATAAAAAAGATGATTCTGTTGTGGAAAAAACAGTTCATCCTGCAAACAACAAATCAGTTGATCTCCCTGAAGAAGCAAAGGCTCTTCTAAAATCATTAGCTAGTGAATGGAACGATGTACAAGATGCAGATGCATTGCAGGTGATCCCTCTTAAGGGGGCAATGACAAATAAGGTATTCCAAATAAAATGGCCAACGAAGACTGAGGAACCCTCACGAAAAGTTATTGTTAGAATTTATGGTGAGGGTGTGGAAAATTTCTTTGATAGGGATGATGAGATACGGGCATTTGAATTCCTGTCTAAGAATGAGCAGGGTCCCCAACTTCTGGGCCGGTTTTCTAATGGCCGCATTGAAGAGTTCATCAAAGCACGGGTAATCAGATCTGTACTTATTTTTACTCATCTTAAAACTATTAACACTCAAACTACCTTGCATTAATTTGATATTTTCGAACTTGGTTCATCAATCAACTGTAGAATGAATGCAGTATATAACTTGTACAATTATTTAATGTCTTGACAACTTGATTCAAGAAGCTTTGGTTCTATGTCAAGGATAAGCTTAACTTGAATTGAAAGCATAAGTTTCTAAGTGACATTATTCATGAAAATACCAAAGGAAGGCCTCTGTCACAGTTAATGCCGTGTAATGATATGTAATATTTAGCAATTGCTCAGATCTATTCAGCACTATCCCATTTTGAAGTTGATATGCTCAGTACACCCTTCCCCGAATGAGACTCCTCTGTTTAACTCCTCTGTTAATTCTCCAGACTTTATCAGCATCTGACCTGCGTGATCCATCTATCTCTGCTCTTATAGCAGCCAAAATGAAGGAGTTCCATAATCTTGAGATGCCTGGTCCAAAGAAAATCATCGTATGGGATAAAATACGGTATGTGCTTTCTGATCACCCATCCCATCCTCACTCCTTAAAAGACTTGGAGAGAAGAGTTTGTTTGTCACTCTATGATAGATAAGAACCCAGTCACCTTTCTCACTAGATAAGGTTTGTTGCTTCTTCCAGATTTTAAGTTCGGTCATTTCTAAAACAGTTTTATCTTAATGCTTCAGAAAATGGATTAGCATAGCCAAGGGTTTATCTTCCCCTGAAGAAGTTGAAGCCTTTTACCTGGACACAATTGACAAGGAAGTTGATATTTTGGAAAAGGAACTCTCAAGCGATCAGCAACTGATAGGGTTTTGCCACAATGATTTGCAATATGGTAACATAATGCTTAAAGAAGAGACCAATTCTGTGACCCTAATCGTGAGTCTCTGTTTTTGCTAGTTTGTGAAAGTAAGATTTTGTTGCTTCATGTTTTCTTTTTAATTGGTGGACTTGCTTTGAAGAAAAGGCTAGTTCTGCTGTAGTCATAGACTTGCCATACATCGATTTTGCCATTTGGTATAGCAACTTCCACTGCACTGCTCAAAGTGCTGTGGAATTTTCCCATTTGGATACTGTACATACATTTATGGAAAAATTATCCTTATACTTTGTGAAAAGAATAAGAGAAGAAATCTACCCTGAATGGTAGCAGCCTATTATTCCAAATCTGGATACAGAACCCTAGAGTTGTCTTAATTATAGCGTGATGAACTTCGTTGCTGCAAGCCTTTCCAGCATTTTAAGGTCAAATTGTCTTAATGACTGATTATTTTGAATGATGATGTAATTTTTAATCGTAGATATGAGATTTTGAAAATGATCTATGATCTTGGACTTATGATTTTAATGTTGCCCTTTTGTAACAGGATTACGAATATTCAGGTTATAATCCTGTGGCATACGACATTGCAAACCACTTCTGCGAGATGGCAGCTGATTATCATACAGATGCACCTCATGTTCTTGACTTCAGTAAATGTCCTGGTATGATGCTTATATAATTTCTTTTCATTCATCATTCTTTATTATATGGTTGCATCTCACTTTCTCTTGACAGATTTGGAGGAGCGTAAAAGATTTGTGCAGGCATATTTGAGTACTTCAGGTAGTGAATTTATTTGGTTCTTGATATTGCGCAGTCGTTCTTTCTTTATTTCAGCACAACTTCATCTTATGGTGTAGATGTATTAAAGAGGGGATATTGTTTTGTGTTTAAATAAAATTGATGATTTAGTTCATAATATGAACAGTCAAGTTGTTGCATGGTATAAAAATTCACTTTTGGCGTTCATTTTAAAAACTATACAGAATAAGATATGCTTACTTTTCATCATTCATTACAGGACTATTTTTCTCCTCAAATACTGACTTATGATTTCCATACTGAAATTACTGGACTCAAATGCAGGCCAGGAACCTAGTGACAGTGAAGTAGAGCAGTTACTTCAGGAAGCTGAGAAGTATACACTTGCAAATCATCTATTCTGGGGCTTGTGGGGAGTAATTTCGGTACTTTCACATCTTCTCTCTTTAGCATTAGTAATAAGAGGTTGTTAAATAGACATTGCACCTGAGATATGAAGACCAGTCAATCATAAATAGACATTCTTATGCCGACGGTGATTAGGTCAAGTGAAAGGGACTCAATTCTCTTTAAATAAAGTTGATGATTTGAATCTTAAAAATAATAAATAAAAAATCATATTGAGAGAGCTATATTCAGTTGAACCTAACAAAACTTGAATATGACCCAATGGTGTCAGATTCCATATAATAGTAGAAAAAAGAAACATTCTTCTTGTGCTGATTCTTGAGAGACAGATTCTGCAGCATCTACCTTAGATTTTTTTTTTTTTTGATAGTTAGATTTTTTTCCCTTGTAGTTTTTCTTTATTGACCTGTAGCTAGATGACTTAGTAGTATCAAAATATCTTAGTAGAAACATATTAAAGCCCTTTAAACTTTTCAAGTTTCTACCAGTTCTCCTTTATGACTACCTTAATAACAGTGACTACTGAAAGTCCTATACTATGAGGTTTGACTCCCTGCTGCTGAGAGATGTGACCATGTTAAATGCTCAACTGTGCCTCAAACAGGATTGCTTCCTATATAAGAACACATGTGCCTGATTAACCAAAAAAAAAGAAGTCCTATACTATGTGTCTTAGACCCAGTAGGGACTTATAGGAGCATAGTAATCTAAATATTTGTTGACATTTCTTATGAATTCCCCAGGCACATGTAAACAAGATCGATTTCAACTACATGGAGTACGCAAAACAGAGAATTAAAGAGTATTGGGCAAGGAAACCGTATCTTTTGTGCTCTGCTGGACCTTCCCTTGAAACTATTACGACTGAAGGTAATGAATGAAACTTAACTGGATGTATGGGTGGTCTTGTACTACTACTGCTTTGTTAATAGGTTGCTACTGACATAAACAGAATATGAATTTTTGATGATCATCAAATGTGGTGTATGTGTTTAAAAAATGATATTTTGATTATGTTCTAGTTCTTAACATGAAATTATACTTTTATGGATGTGTTTTTGTATGTATATATAGCCCAAGATTTATGCCTCCATCTGACATTATATTATCTGTTAATTATTAATGTTAATGACGAAGAGATAGAGATTATATGTGAAGTTCAGCTTCTAGAGTCCCCTCTTAAAACTGTTCTAAGATTCCTGGACCCTTGCAGCCGTGAATTTTTTGCAAATTCACAATTACAATTGCAATCACAATCACAATAGATAAATAAATAAATAAATATATATATATATATATATAAAATCTAAAATGAATTGTACTGTTCATATCATGTGAATAGTGTGATCTATTTATCAGATTCTATGTAATGCATGGAATGACCACTTGGCACTATTTATTGGTAATTTTTCTTAAATTATTCATAGTCCCAAGTTGGAAAAAAAAAAAGCAATTTCCTATTTTTTAAATTCCATGGCCTAGTATTGTGAAAAATTTACTTGTCCAGATTATTTTGAACCCTTGCTGCGTGGGACTGTTCTTCTTTGAACAAACAAAAATTTTGTCATCTCCAATACTCTCGACATGGAGGAAAATAGGGTTTCGTTATATTAGAAATTAGATGGAAATCAAGAAAAATTGGAACTTATTTAATTAGTGAAAGGAAAAATAATATAGAAAGTAATAGGTGATTAAAGTTCTTTTTTAGGTTTTTATCTCACTAAAAAATTTATATTTTCTCAAGCCTAAATAATCCAAAAGCTTGGATACGTTGCGACTTCTCTTTTTGTTATTTTTTAGCCATGTATATGTATAAAAGTAGCATATTTGCAACTTTAACAATATAATTCTATATTTCAGTTTGTTACTGAAATTCACTTATTTTCGTTATACGAAATTATATATTTACGGCAGTTATATAAATAGTTATTCTTTTTTTTTTAAAATAAGTTCTTTTTTTTAATGAAAAGTAACTCCTTTTTAATTCTTACTTGTACAAGGTATTAGTTATTTTTTGCATTTTCAAATAATAATTTCTAAATATTCGTCCAGAAGAAAAAATAGTTTTTATTCTGAAGAATCAATAATACATTCTTTTTGCATGATTTATGGACGTGCAAAAGAAAAATTATGATTTCTTGGCACTGAATTCAGTTATCAATTAAATTAGTGTTCCTGTTATCATTATTTATTCCTCACATAGACCAATTTTTTTGAATATTAAAGAAACTACTTTTCTCTCTTAAATTTTATTCTAAATAAAAAAAACAATTCATTTCACGGTAAAAATGAACTAAACTCATATTTGCATATATTTTGTAACATAAAAAAGGATATTTCTCTCCCGCCTGTAAAATATAAAATACATTAATTTACTATTGTATGAGCAGTATAACTGATTTTATTAAATTTCATATAATAAAAGCGAGTTTTTTTTTATCTGAATATATGACAGTTATAAGTAATATTATTACTACTCACGTGGAAATTTTGTTTCCTATAGGTGTTGCTGCTGCTGAAACCTCAAGCGGTAGATATTAAAATAAGTTTTTCTTACAATAAAAATGCTAAATGCTAATATGCTATTATTATTAATAGCTAATCAGATTATTACATTTTCTTTTTTGAAATTTTTGCAGAAAATCGAACTCAAGATCAGTCTTCATCAAACAGAGGAAACTCGGTCAAGACCCCTTTCTTCAAGAAGTTGAAGAAAGTATTTGGAATGAGCGTTTTCAGGTCAAGAAGTTGAACAACATTTGTGCAGCCCATTGATTATTCATTTGTTTTCTCTCTCTCTCTTTTTTTTTTTTTTGCGTGAGAAGAAAAAATGCACTGCATTTTTAAACATGTAATTGATTCACATCATTTTAAATAATCAATTTCTTTTTGAAAAAAAATTGCTTTGCTTGTCAATAGCTTGAAGGTTGACGTCAGTGCAAAATATTATTTTTGTTGATCAAATTTCTATGTTATTCTTTTTTTTTAACTGAAAAGAGCATAACAAAAATCAGGGTCTACAGCATATCATGATTCATAATAGGATCTCTCTCATGGATCCATAACAAATTTCTATGTTATTCTCAAGATACTCCATCCCATCCTATCTAAACTATAAAGAACTTTTAATTAACTTTATAAGAATTAGGAAAAGTAGTTAAATATAGTTTGTATAATTAGATGTGATAAATAATTTTACAGAAACAAAGTAGTTATTTTTTATTTCATTGTAGTCAATAATCTTACAAGTAATAGTTTCTTAATATATAATTTTCACAATATGTCATTTGTCAAAAAAATAAAATGTCAAGCAATTTTTCAGAGACTAAATAATTATCAGATTTTATAATACTTAGTGTGTGCTTGTTTTTCAGTTTACATCTGGCAAAAGTATATTTAAAGAATTCAACTATTTATTAAATTTGGTAAAAATAAATTTCTGATGTGATTTGGATGTGTTTTTAGGAGTTATTCAAATATAACATGAGTACAAAATTCAAATAATTCAACTGTTGAAAAAAATTAACCTCGATATAAAATTCACTTGTTATAGATTTGGTTTAAAATATTAAAAAATTTTATTTTCAAAAAATGTTATTGAAAAAAAACAGCGAGGAATCTTTTTGCTGGGGGATCTCCGTTTCCGGTGCCTAGTGGCTGTGGCCAGAATCCTTGGCGAGTCAATGAATCAGTAGATTGAGATTTGGTAAGTCCTCCCTTCTGTCGCACATTCTTGAAATTGTATTTAATTTTATTTATAAATTATGCTGTGAATTTTTTAAATAATATTATATATATATAATTATTTTTTATGATAGAAAAAATGTAATATAATATTATTTTTTGGATTTGATACGTAAAAGTATATTTAAAATTTTATATACTTTTATTCTTTATATTTTTTTCATTAGTATTGATGGGGTTATTAAAAAAATCAGAGGAGTATTATGTAATAACCCAGAAATTTTAGGAAAAATTAGCTCAGAAGGGATTTTTATATTTATTTTTATTCTTCAGCCTTTGAGTTACCATTTTTCGCCCTCATTTAAAGAAATAAAGTAATAATAATAAAAAAAGGTCAGGAATCAAAATGCACAAAAGGGGACCTTAGGGCTTGTTTGATTTTTATTTTTAAAAATAATTTTAAAAAAAACATAAAAAATTAAAATTTATTTGGATAAGTGTTGTTCATTTAGTTGTTTCCAAAACTGTTTTTTTTTATTTTTAAAAAAAAACAACTTTATGCTCTTTTCACTTTTTATTTTTAAAATATACTACTTTTAATTATTAAAAATTATAGTTATTTTAATCAATTTTTATTATTAATTATTATTATTATTAACTATTTATAATTATCATTATCAGTTAATTTTTATTAATAATTATTATTATTAACTATTTATACCCAAATGAATTTTTATTTTATTTTATTTTAAAAATAATTTTTAAAACTGTACTACAAAATAATTTTTAAAAATAAAAAATGAGAATAAACCAAATTTAAGTTTTTTTCTGTTCACCGACGCACGTGTGCGGGGGTCGCCATTCGTTCACCTCTGCGGTGGATTCTGTCAAGCTCGTGGCGCTTCCTCTTTCTCCATTTTCAACGCCGTCGGAACTCCTTCCTTTTCCTTCTCCCTTATTTCTGTACATAGATAGTAAGCATGCAAAGAGCTGGTCAGCTACTGCCGGAGGTCCGATTCACGCCGTCAACTTCTTCTTCCTTCCCCTGTTCTGTCGATGTTGTTTGGGGTAAGTGAGGGAAGCTTGAATTTCAGTACATATGGAATGTTGTTCTATTGTTTTTGTTAGTTTCAAGCATACATATTTTCATTCTCTTGGCTCTTAGCATGTCTGAATCTTGACTCATTGTGGTATTGTATGAAATTCCAGTCTATTTGAAAGTTTATTTTACAATTATTTTTTAATTGAAAGCAGTACTTGCTATATACATCCGTTTTGGGTTGAGCTTGATGAAATGAGTACTGTAATTTGTTAGCAAAACAATTTACACATAGAAGAGGATTTTTCTATCTTAATTGAAAATATAACTAAATCACAATTTTAAATATTTGACTATTTGTCAGGAGTCTTTTTTTTTTAAAGACTTTTTTTAAAGCGTATAAAAGTTTATAGAGAAAACTTTGAAAAAACCGCTTATAGATATGCAGAGGTGGAGAGAGGGAGAATCGACAGGGGCCACAGCCCTCCTAATTTTTTAATTTTTTTAATAAAATATATGAGTTATATATTTTAGATTCTCTTGAGTTAACACATTATAAAAGTTATGAAATATTAGATTAAATTTTTATTTTAATTATATATGTAGTGTTTGACATATGTATAGAGTAACTATTTTAGTAATTTAAAGATATGGTTATCATATGATCTAATAAAATAATGTTATATATGCTCTTAAAATATGGATGTCATTTTAATTTACTTTTATTTTATATTTAATAAAAGAAATTATGAGAATTATTATTAACAATCTTTGTTAAACATTGTAACAAAAATCTCAAGATATATTGAATTCTATGCGCTTGATATCTATTATAAAATTACTTATCTAAAAGTTAAGAAATTTGATGAAGATGTTCTTCCAAAAAAAAAAAATTTACTTTTTTTAAAATAATCAAGTTATTAAAATTTATGACAATTGATCTCATTGACATAAAAATTTTATAACAATTGAGCATTGTTAATATGTTGCTATATGTGTTTACTACAATTATTAATTAAAAAAATTAAATAGTAAATTCAATAAACAAATAATATAGTTTATTACATTGATCAAAACTTTAAATTCTAATGATATATTTAAATCATTTAATGCTTATAGGGATGATAACATTTTCACCAATTTAATGATAATTCCTATTGATAAAGAAATTGCTAAAACATTTATCGTAAATATAATAATTAATAATTTTATACCATAAAAAATCGATGAGAAAAACTTAAAAAAAAACACACACACAAATATTGTTATACATGTGTAAAATTAAATATAAACATATATATATATATATATTAAAATATTTATATTTTATCAGTGATATATATATATATGTGTGCTTTTTTTTAATTATTATATATATTTTGTCATCTCGACCCTCCTTAATAAAAATTTTTGACTCTGCCTTCTAGATATGGTTTAGATTCTTTTTCAATAAATATTTTCATATATTGAAGGATTGATTTCTGATGTACTTGGGAATACTTATGGTGGAATCAAACATAACATGCCTGTTTTTCATACCCTTTAAGCTGCATTTGACATTCTTAGCCTTCGATTTGCACTTGAGATTTGTAGCCTTAGGTTGTGCTGGATTTGTTACTTATTTTCATAGATTATATATCCATACCTAGTCTACGAACCATACATGATTAGTGATTTACTCATGTGGGCTCTATGCTTGTAATAGAAATCTCATGCTCTATGGATTTTTCAAAAGGAATTTGTTTTTTAGAAAAATATTTTATTTTCTTCTTAATTTCTATTTTTAAAAAGAAATTCTTATTTTAAATTCCTGGATAAATTTATCTTGGGATTTTTGCTCTAAAGTCTATTTTGCTATTTTAATGGGTTTGAAATATGCTTCCCACATTTGTTGATAATGTTATTTCAGCATTCTATATTGTGAGTATTGTATTGGATTATTAGAAAATATTTATCCATGTCCACGTATTTGAAGTGCTTAAGATAACTTAGATATTTGAGGTATTGTCATCTTATCTTGAGAAAATAAACATGATTCAGGATACATATGTTTATGCATATTATAATTATTTTAGTAATGAGTTTTATTATGAAACATCCTTTATTTATTTGTATACCAAATGTTAGAATCATACAATCCTTTCATTTGCATTATACAAGGGACCCTCTACTTGTTTGATATAAATTTAAATTATTATTTTATTGCATTCAATAGTTGTTTAAACAACAAGCAAGATATCTACCTCTTTATTTCAATACTTGTTTGATATAATTCTTGTATTTTGATTATATTTTTATATGTTAGGGGTAGAATCTACAAGATACATTAGTGATTCAGTGGAATTTTCAAGTGAAATATATATTTTAAATATAATACATCATATTTCAAATAAAAGATATAATAAAATAAACGATATAATTAAAAATTATATCATCCTTGTAATTCTTGTAAAGATTTAGGAAGTAATTCTTGTAATCCATTCAAATTAATTGTTTAATGGTACTTAAAACTTTCCTTCAGAGATTTACTGAAAATCTTTACAAAAAGTCATGAGTATTGCAATATCATTTAATTTTATATCATTGAAGTGTGTAATCTTTCCCAATTGTAATTAGGAATATACACGGATTAGGTTTATAAATCAAGGTTAACATTTATTTTGTGTCAGTCAAGCTTGGCATTGTGGGTGTGACAGAATGGTATCAAAGCTTAGATTTTTTATTTGGTCCTTTGGATGTATTTGTGTAAATATGCTTTGAATGTTCTCAATTAAAATTATGCCTATGCATGATTGAAGATTTTTGAAAATTATAATGTCCCTTTTCCTCTTCAAGTATGTAGTATATACATTCTTAATTTATTACTCATTTGAATTTTGAGATTTGTATGCTTGAAAATTTGAAGGATTGACTTTCATAAGAGGGAAAAAAATGTAATAACCCAAAAAATTTTAGAGAAAATTAAAAATTATGATAATATATTTTGATCATATTTTTATATGTTGATGTAGATTTTACAAGATGCATTAGTGATTCAGTGAAAATTTCAAGTGAAGTGTATATTTAAATATAATACATCATATTTTAAATAAAGATATAATAAAATGAATGATATGATTTTTAATGATATCATTCTTGTAATTCTTATAAAGATTGAGGAAGTAATTCTTGTAATATGTTCAAATTAGTTATTTAATAGTGCTCAAAACTTTCTTTCAAAGATTTACTAAAAATCTTCTCAGAAAGTCATGAATATCACAATATCATTTGATTTTATATCATTGAAGTGTATGATCTTTTTCAATTGTAATTAGAAATATATATGGATTAGGTTTATGAATCAAGATTAACATTTATTTCATGCTAGTCACACTTGTTATTGTAGGTGTGACAGAATGGTATCAGAACTTAGATTTTTTATTTGATCCTTTGGGTATATCTGTGTAAGTATGCTTTGGAATGTTTTCAATTAAAATTATGCCTATGCATGGTTGAGGATTTTTGAAAATTGTAATGTCCCTTTTTCTTTTCAAGTATGCAATATATACATCCTTAATTTACCATTTATTTGAATTTTGAGATTTGTATGTTTAGAAATTTAGAAGATTGATTTTCATAAGAGGAAAAAAATGTAATAACCTACAAAATTTAGGAAAAATTAAAATTTATGATAATTTATTTTGATTATATTTTTATATATTGGGGGTAGATTTTATAATATGCATCAATGATTCGGTGAAATTTTTAAGTGAATTGTCTATTTTAAATATAATACCTCATATTTTAAATAAAAGATATAATAAAATGAATGATATAATTAAAAATTATTAGAAAAATTAATAGCACTATAAATTAAATTGAGAAAAATAATTTGATAATTTAACTAGATATAATAAGAAAAAAGTGCAAAAAAATTGTTAAAAAATTCATAGAAAAGGACATTAGAGAGGGGTACAAAAGAGAAATTGTTATTACGCTAACATTTATTATGATTTTTGAAATGCAAAGCATCTCTTTATCACTTATGTTAAACTTGTGATAAGGAGACAGAATCTAAATTAATTGTGATTTTATAAAAAATAACTAAACAATAATTTTTAGATCTCATTTTATAACCACTTTTAGCTTTTAGACAAGGTTATCTTGACTCCCACCACTTGCACTAAATCCTTTCAACTATTATATGTCTCATGTGCCATTATCAAAATTACTAATTCAATTGAATGGTAGTTAAAGATGTTAGCACAAGATAAAGAATTGTAGACTTTTTTTGCTAAGAGAGGCCTTAATGTGATGCTGGGTTTTCATGAGATGCTACGCTCTCTGCTTGAACTTGAACCTTTGCTCTAACAAGACAAATCACGAATTGATACTTTGAGCCTTTCCTTTATGTATAATAATAAAAAAGAAATATGGAAAATATCAAATCACAACTCCACTTTTTTTGTGCCCTTTAATTTAATAATTTACTTATTTTATTAAAAAATATAAGGTATTTATAATATTTCACCTTTTAGGGTGTAATTAATATGTTTTTCTTTTAAAAAATCTCTTAATAAATAAATAATTTAATATTTAGTTTTGAGTGAAATGCCATAATCTCTCGATTAAAATGTAAGATATTTTTTGAGAGGTTGAATGTTGAAAAATATAAAATATTTTTAGTATTTTAAAGTATAATTAATGTATTTTTTTTAAGTGTCCATAATAAATACTCGCTCCGTCAAAAAATATAAGATATTTTTAATTGAATCATATTTTTAATAAAGTAATTAGTTATTTTTAAATTAATACCATCTTTCATATTTACTTCTATTTATATTTTAAAATAAAATAATTTATTTATTGAGGGCATTAAAAAAAACATTAATTATGGCTTGATCCTTTTCTAAGATTTTCAAATTTCGTGATCCCTAATTATAATTAATGTCTCTATGTGGTCTGTGATTGTCATTTTTCCTGGAAAAAAACAAAGAAAGAATTGGAAAAAAAAATAAATAAATGAGAACGCACTAACGCAGCGGAGGACTGGGGAGAATGTCCAGAACGCAGCTCAGAATTTCTCGGATTTTCTTCTGTTGGTTTCTACATATTCCCTGTTTGATTTTTGTGTTTGTTTTGGATTGTTTGTTCGAAAATAAAAAAGTCAACCTCGTTTGTATCTTTGAACGTCTGAGAAATTTCCTGGGTAATCTATTGCTCCGCATTGAGTCCGTAGTTTTTAAGGTTCCAGCACCATTTTTCATTTTCTTTTTTGTTTTTAACTGTTACTTTAGACTTTCGTAGCAAGCTTTCATTGAAATTTAAAGCTTCCAAATTTTACCTCCTACTAGTATGAACTATTCTGTGGTTAAGCAGCAAGTTGGCAACTTATTGGGGTCTCTTTTCTGTAACATCTTAATTTTCCTCTCACATTTTTCTTGTTCTACATGATTCTAGACCCATTGAATGGAACTTCCCATATTGGCATAACGTGGCGCTGTCTCTGAAATCATGATCTGCAGACCAAAGCTTCTGAAATGTGGCATAATTCAGAGTCTGAACTTTCTCAGCGCCAATTCTTCTCTTTTGATTGATACGGGTAAGCTATTTCACTCAAACTTTCCCTTTCCACAGTTAATAATATAAGCAAGCAGCTGAACATTACTAGTGCACTGAAACTTGGGAGGCTGGGTCACTGTTTCGAACTCTGATTGTGGCATGTTTTTTTTTTTTTAAGGAAAAAGAAACTTAGCGATTGTCTAATTTATTTATAAGATACTTTCGGTTTTTTATGACTAAATAAGACTTGAAGTGGTAGTTTCCTGTGCATACGAGACAATTGGTATTCATTGTATCAGGTAAACCTCTTGATAGAATACAAGAAGGCGCCTATTCAACAATGCCATTGGCTAATGATAACATGGATAAGGAATTTGGGAATTTTACATTGGCAAAAGACCTGGCCAGTCTTGTTGAGGAATCTTCTAAAGTTGTTGAGAAAAAGGCAAAGAGTCGAATGGAGCTCAAGAGATTGCTTGAATTCCGCATTAAAAAGAGAGTCAAGGAGCAATATGTGAACGGGAAATTTCAAGACGTAATGGAAAAAGTGGTTTCCAATCCAGAAACTCTTCAGGATGCTTACAATTGTCTGAAGCTTAACTCTAATGTTGATGTGGATTTGAACTATGACAGCACTTTCAATACCTTGGCAGAACAGCTATGCCATGGGAGTTTTGATGTCACTGCCAATACCTTCACTATTTCAACAAGAGGTGTGAAGAAAGATGTTCTTGTCCTCCCCAATTTAAAGTTGAAGGTTCTCCAAGAAGCTATCAGGATTACTTTGGAAGTTGTTTATAGGCCACACTTCTCCAAAATTTCACATGGTTGTCGAAGTGGCAGGGGACACTCCACAGCCTTAAAGTACATCTGCAAAGGGATCTTGAATCCTGACTGGTGGTTCACATTGCATGTAACCAAAAAGTTAGATGCTGCTGTCTTAACTAAGCTTGTCTCAGAAATGGAGGACAAAATAGAAGACCCAAAATTATATGCGATGATTTGGGGCATGTTTGAGGCCCAGGCACTGAATTTTGAGTTTGGAGGTTTCCCAAAGGGCCATGGTCTTCCACAAGAAGGGTTTTATCGTCTATTCTCATGAATATATATTTTGACCTCTTTGATCGAGAATTTTACAGGTTGTCAATGAAATATGAAGCTATTAATGGTGGAAGTTGTGATGATCAAGATAAATCATGCTCCAAATTGCGCAGTTGGTTTAGGAGACAGTTGAAAAGTCATGATCCTAAGTGCTTAGTTGAAGGGACTCCTGGTCTCAAAGTATACTCTTGCCGAGTTATGGATGAGATATTTTTTGCAGTTTCTGGTTCTAGAGAATCTGCTGTTAGTTTGAAGTCTGAGATCCAAACTTATTTGAAGGACTCTTTGCTCCTGGATGTGGATGACCAAACAGATATACTACCTTGTGATGGATCTGATACTATTCGCTTTCTGGGAACTTCAATTAGAAGAAATGTTAGAGAAAGTCCTGCGGTTAAAGCTGTTCACAAGTTAAAGAAAAAAATTGAATTATTTGCTTCACAAAGGCAAGAGGCCTGGAATTATGGGACAACTAGAATTGGGAAGAAATGGCTGGGGCATGGTTTAAAGAAGGTTAAGGAATCAGAAATCAAACACTTAGCTAATAATAGCTCTTTGCTAAACAACATTTCATGCTTCCGTAAGTCTGGAATGGAAACTGACCATTGGTATAAACACTTAATGAAGATATGGATGCAAGTTATTCAAGCTAAAAATGCTGCAAGTGAAGAAATCATCCTATCTAAGTGTGTTGCTGAACCATCTCTACCCCAAGAGCTTAAAGATTCATATTATGAATTTCTAAAACAGGTGGATAAGTATATATCTTCTGAGACAGCTTCTACACTCCAGCTTTTATCAAATTCTGACATCTCAACACAACTTGAAATTAAACAAACTGAGATTATTGCTCCGTTATGTGCTATTAAAAAACGTCTCCAGAGATATGGATTGGTCACATCTAATGGATGCCCCCGCCCTGCTACTTTACTTATCTTGCAAGATACTGCTGAAATTATTGACTGGTTTTCAGGGATTGTACGCCGCTGGCTAAGATGGTATCAGAATTGTGTTAACTTTAATGAGGTAAAGCTCTTGATTTCTGTTGAAGTTCGGAAATCATGTATCCGTACTTTAGCAGCGAAGTATCGGATACATGAAACTGAGATAGAGAAGCGGTTTGACCAGGAACTCAGCAGGCTTCCATTAACTGAGGAGATAGAGGATAAGATGACAAATGAAACTTTGGATGTTGAAGCTTTTGATAATAATGAGTCATTAATGTATGGAATTTCCTACAGTGGTTTGTGTTTGTTGTCTCTGGCAAGATTAGTGACACAGTCAAGACCTTGTAACTGTTTTGTTATTGGGTGCTCATCCGCAGCACCAAGTGTCTATACTCTTCATGTTATGGAAAGGCAGAAGTTTCCAAGCTGGAAGACTGGCTTTTCAACTTGCATCCATCCAAGCTTGAATAAACGACGAATTGGATTATGCAAGCAACATCTGCAAGATTTGTACCTGGGTCACATATCTCTGCAGTCCATTGATTTTGGTGCATGGAAGTAAGCGCTATCTATTATTGGAGATTCCTTATAAGGCTATTTGGATTATGGTCATATATTACATCAGTTTGTTGAAGATGTTAAAGGTTCTCTTGCAAATGAGGTGCAAAATTTAAATCTCAGCTTACTAGCAGATTTTGTTTGATATCCCGAGGTGATTCTCTCCTTTACTTATGACTATTTTTACTTTCATGAATCTCATTCTGATCAATCATTTGCAGATTATATAATTCTAGGCATTGGAGCTCTAGAAATTTGTCTTCGATTTTTGGTAATGGTTTATGGAGCTTTTGTTGTCATCCTAAATTCCATTTTTAGATTTAGGGCCTGCTTGGATAGGCTTATAAGTGATAGATTCGCTTGCTTGTTATATGATGGTTGATGGCTTCAGATCAGGGCATGTTTTGCATTATGAGATGTTAAAACACATTTACAATTATTAATTCTGTGGAATGCTATTTATATTTTAATCCATATAGGTTTGGAAATGTTAAAATATTTACACTTTAAGATTATAAGTTATTTTTATATTTGAATATCTTATTAAAATTTTATTTAAGAAAATTTGTTATAAAATTTTGTAGCCAAATGAATTGTATTTAAAGAGTTCTTTTGATCACAGTATCCTAATGCTTAACAATTTATGCTTCATATAATATCTCTTGCAAAATTCTTACTATGTAGCATAACCATCCAAACAAGAAGGCAAAAATACCTTTTTTTCCCAATCCAAAATGGAAGTACTTTTAAATGTATATCCAAGTAAGCCCCTGATCTTTGTGAAGTGGGCAATTGTGTTCCATTAGATGCTGCTGCTGCTTTTTTTTTGTTTTTTGTTTCCCAATAATGAATCATTTGGTTTTGGTATTCAAGGCTACCAACTAATTCAGATTTGAGTTGAGTTAAGCACTAATTGAGGGGAAGCTCTGGTTATTTATGTGATTGTATGTCTAGAGGATTATTCAAGAAAATGACCAACAACTCATCATCCATCTCAAATGAGAAATTTTTTTTTTTTAATACTCTTTCTAAGGTAGTTCTTACTTACATGGTCATGTCTGGATTGCCCAGCACCAATGACACCTTATTTGTGTCTGCTTAAATTGTCAGTCTGCAATCTTTGATGCCAAGACAGATGTATGGCAAAAGATGGGGCGTTCTTGTGAGGATTTTGGGATTAAGGAAGATGAGTCTTCATTCCCTCCTTTAGTTTAGTCCGTGTGAGTATCCATTTTGCTGGAAGAGGGAATGATTCAATTAATGGACTGAGTTATAAATATCTTGCCAATTTTCCTATTTTATCACTGTGCCACTTTTGCTGAGCAAATTTTCAGCTTTAAGCTACAAGAAGCAAGTCGTGGTGGTTATCATAAATGATATGTCTTAGAAATATAGCAGAAACTCTTATGACTCTCTCTGGTTTACTCATCCATGTTATATGAAGTAAAGATTTCAAGTAGTTTCATGTTCTTTAGCAGTTGCTTTCCTGTCTCAATGATTTTAAGGGTATTTTTCACTATGTAATCCAACCGAGTCAGCAGCAGTTAACTCAAAGCATGACTATAATGTTGGCCTGTTAGACTCATCAAGTTTTATTTTGATTCCCTTAGATGAAAGTTTTATTTGATTTCTTAATTCTGAAGCATTAAGTGCCAGTTAAAGAATCAAATAGAAGGGTAACTAGAGCATTCATTTTGACAGAGAATGATTGGCCAGTATTACTTTAGATATATTCCAGAACATAGTTTTCAAATTTTGTTGATTACATGAGCTAGCTTCTGATGTTAACTGATTGAAATCACGTAAGACCTCCATGTTAAAAAGGCAGATAGAAATTTTTACATGATCCAAGTTTCTTAAAATCAAATCAAACTTTTCAAAATTTCTATCTAGCAGCTTTTTCTTAACTTGGTTCTATAATGTTTCGAACCATGCAAAGCATCAAAAACTTCACTGCCTGCTGGAGCATCCTTGTCTTCATATCTCTTCTAGACATTTAAAACAACTGACATAATAGTTCCTATTTCCCCTAGCTTATCGAAGTGCTAGAGAGGATGAATTTGCTCTATATTTGAGAGGCTTGGCTTTTGTTTCTCTCTCAGCATGAGTTTCCAAATATTATTAAAAATTAATGTTTAAATAATAATAATTGATACAAAAATTTATCATTTAAGACTAATAATGTTAGGATTAGAGTATTAGAGATATATACTTTATAAGATTAATAGATTAGATTGAACTTCATAGAAATTAGAGAACTAAATGTGCACTTTTGCCTAAATCTATTTTATAAATCTCAAGTTTAATCAATAAGGAATTTTATGAAATATTTCAGGTAAACAATTTATGCAATTGATTGATTGATAATCGTTTTGATGAAAATTAGATAATTACGTCCCTTCAAAACGCAATTCTTATTTGGCATTCACCCTTAAAAAAGTTTCGAGGGAGATATCAAAACTTTATTTCATGTCCTCGTGATATTAATATCGAGTCGTTATGACTCTGCAAAATACAATGGTATTCCTAATTAATTTTGAATATGTTTACTGCAAGTTGAATCAAATAAATCATCTTCGTCAGCATGGACTACATGACTAGTGCAAATGGATACAATAATTAGAGTCATAGGAAACTAGCTTGCAGAAGCTATCTCCTTTTTTCCCCAAGGTGGGTGATTTAAAATGATATTATATATTTATAATTTCCCACGACTTAAATAAAATTGACCTCCAAACTTTGTTTGGAATGAGAATAAAACATGAACGAGAGAACTATGATATTTTATACTCTTGTTTTCTTCCTAGTTTAAAGAGGGAAAAGAGTAACGAAAAGCTTTATAATTTATATGTTAGAGAGGCGTGATTTTTTTTTTTAACTTTCTTTCCTAATTTTTACATTTTCTTATTATTTTTCCTATTCGAAACCGACGGTCAAATTGTCTTAAGGAACATAAAATAACGGAGAATATTTGTGCAACAATATTTGATTAATACCTTGTAATTGAATTATAGGCAAACGGTATATGTTTATGTATATATATATATATATATATATAATTAAGGAATCAATATCACTGTCTCGTAATTATCTTGTATGTACCTGCTTGGAAAATTATTAGGATCATTTGTTTAGATACAGTAACGTTAGATTTTTAGGCATGTTTGGATACTTGTTAGGAATTAATTTTGGGATCAAAATCATGGTTTTGCAAAAACTTATCCAACACTCTCATTTTGTAAAATTTCATTTGGCTTATAGAATTTTATTTGGAGAAGTTGAAATTTCCTTCATTTACAAAACTCCATTTAACTCTTTTTCTTTATATTACATTTAAAATTAATTATTAAGAAATCATCCAAACACCTTTAATTTGTCAGCATCAATTTTTAAAATTTTATCTAAACATCATCACATTTTAATAATTAATTTTTTTAATTGAAATTCAAACACACCGTTAATCGGATGTTCATATATCTTTCATTGACCAAATGATATTCATGGCTCCCACAAAAGTCAACACCGCTTCCATTCTTCCCTGCGTTCTGAATTAAATTTTATTGTCCAAAACGGTACCAATAAAAAGCAATGTTTCCACTTTCCACAATGACCACGTACGATCCTTCAAATCAAAATATATACATAAAAAAAACTAAGGGAGGCTCATTCACCTGAGGATCACGTACGTATTGACCCCTCACGCTCAACCACGCAGTCTTGAACATATCGTGTGGCGCGTGGTTGATTTAAGAAATAGACTATATTGTATCGTGTGTTTTTTTTTTCTTTTTGGCCAACATATTGTATCGTTTTATACTATAAAGCAGTATTATTGAGGAACAGCTTGAACAGCAAAAATGAGAAGATACATTGAGTCGAACACGTACGTTCTTAACTGACAATATGGACGCTTTCGGGACTTAGCCCTTTATTAACCAGCGCGTTCCCAAAATGAAAATAAGGCCATCTTTCTTACATGTAATTGGGCATTATGCTTCCGGCGCAAATTAAAGGGAAAATTTTATTAAATTCCCTGATCAAATTTATTTTTTTAGTCATCTCCTAAAATTCTAAAATAGCAGTTGAATTCCTGTGAGCTTTATTTGGGTTAAATTAAAATTAAGCTTTTAAGTGAAATGACGCAAATAACCTCAATTCTCTATTTTCATCTAGCACAAATTGTTCATCTGCATAATTTTATTTGTTTATATCCATAATAATGTTATGTTATTAATGAAAATTACAAATTTCACCTCTACTGATTATTCATTTTCAATACATTAATTATTTATATTTGAAGGAATTGAATTTATTTGTGCCATTTCTCTCAAAAATTTAATTTTTAAATTAGTCCAAATGGAACCCACGGGGACTAAAATGATGTTTCCAGAATTTTAGAGATGAATAAGTTTGGTCAGGGTTTAATGAAATTTTCCGCAAATTAAGTAAATATCTGTCTTAATTAATAATAGTTTTATTTATTTTAATATATTTTAATTTGCGACCTCGGGAGATAGGTGTATTCTTAAACCTTTAACACGCCTCTTCAGCTTTTATTATTTTTTTCTTTTTGAATTCACAACAGCTGTTACTTCGCGGACCCACGGGGTATTTTATTATTTCAGCATGCAAATCCGAATATGTCAATAAATGACTCGTCCACAAGCCACGTGTCACACCTATTATGCATTTTAAAAAAAAAAAACAAGGCATCTGTGTAAAATAAAAAATTTAGATTGTTTGTGATAAGTTGCACATTATATAACTTGGTCATCTTTAATTTAAATGTAGTTTTATATACTCTTATAAATAAAAAGTATGCGCCAACTTATGATAACTTTTGTTATTCATTTCTTAATTAGTTACTTCCTCAATTTTATAAAATTTATTTTTGAAGTGATTTGATGTTCCTTAAATTATTTTAAAATTATCTTATATTATATTTTCTCCTTAAATATTTTTCCTTCTCAGTTGCTAAATCATTTTTAAAAATATCTTATTAATATATAGGACGGAAGAAATATTTTGTTGCGGGCAATGTTATGAAAACCGGATTGGCCATTAAACCGGTCGAGGTACTGGTTCATAGTTCAATGGTCGGACCGCAGTTTGAACCGTGATCCAACCGGTTATAAATAAATTAATAGTTTTAAATATTATATATTTAAAATAGAAAGAAATAATCATATTAGTAACAAAAATAAATGTTTAAATTTCAAACAAAATAATATACAATAAAAAATATAACATCCATCAATATTATATTATTTTCATCCAAACATATACAAGTGTTTCATAATTCATAATTTATAACTTTAAAATATATACACATATACATAATTTATACATATTTCATACATTTTTTTATTTCATAATTCTTATTAGGTATAAATATATATAAATTATATTTTAAAATATGAATTAAAAATAAAAAATTTAAAAATAATATAACCGGTTCAATCGGTTCTTGCCCGATTTTAGCCGGTTTTACCGGTTTGTGGCTAGTTATGCCAATGCTTGATCGATTCTTGAAATTTCTAGTTTTTTGTGATGACCGGACCAGACTTAGGATCGGTTCCCGGTTGAACTAGTTGGACCAGTCAGTCTGGTCCGGTTCTGATAACACTGGTTGTGGGCACGTAATTCTAAAAAAGTTTACATCCTGTGTGCAGATAAAACTCCTATCTTCCTATTCTATTTTATATTACATTAGGGAAAGCATTAGGTAAATTAATATTAAGAAAACATTCGCATGAATTTTAAAATTTTAGATAGATATTCACCATATTTCAAAAACAAGGATTTAATACTAAGACAAAAGAACATTTCATAGTTGCATATAGAAAATTTCATCATACTAAATTCCTTGCATATAGCAATTATATTCTCTTTCTCTTATTACTTCCTTCGCCTTCTTTTATAAGATATTTTTTTAAAATATTTGATATTCTATAATATAAAATTTTGGGGAAAATATAATTTATTTTAAAATTATCACTCATTATTTCACTCTTTAAATATATAAATTTATCTCTCTCATTAAATGAATGGTATTTTAAAAAAATTTTATATTCATTTTGAAGAAATTAGTATTACAAAAATCTATATAATAATTTCATAAAATAAAGCAGAAGAACTATCAAATTTACTATACCATTATATTTTCTCAATACAAAATATAAGATATTTTATTTTGCAATAAAATGCTAAAAAATATAAATTATTTTAGGTGTCTTAAGATATAATTAATGAGATTTTAAAAAAAATTCTTAATTAAGACTATAATTAATAAATTTTTAATTAAAATAGTCTATTAAATAGAAGCAAAGGTGAAAATATATAATTTTAA